CTGTTTTAACAACTCAGGACCAAATGCAAACACTGAAGAACGTAAGGCAGCCATGAAGGTAGCTGAGCAATATATCAAAGACAAGAACTACCCCAAAAACACACAGGTATCAGACTTAGATCCAGCATGTCAATGAAAGTAACTCAAGTGAAAGCCAAATTCTAAGTAGTCTATCTAACTTTTTGTGACCAGATCCAGGTTATGCCAGCCGGAGGCGAGACCACACTGTTCAAGCAGTTCTTCAGTAACTGGAAGGATAAGGATCAAACCACAGGTCCAGGCCAGGCCTACAGCATTGGCCGCATTGCCAAAGTTTCACAGGTTCCCTTTGATGCCTCCAGTCTGCACTCCAACAAAACTATGGCTGCCCAGCATGGTATGGTGGATGATGGCTCTGGCAAGGTCCAGGTAAATATTTAAAAGCTAATAGCACCAAGGACCATAGAGCTAAATATTGCATGCAAAAAGTTCCACTCTCCTTTGTCAGTAGTGTAGCAATGTATGAAGCACAGCTCAGGTAGAATGCACTTTCAAACTGAGCAGCTTTCTGTTGGTCAACACAGCAAATCCTAATGATCAACTTAAAGCCGTAATGGAATCTGTGTATGGAAATCATTAACAGAACAATGGTAAATGCAAACTGTATCTTTGGTTAACATTACTTAACAAAGCTTTCAAGGTATTTGTTCTACAACATATACTATATACAGTCATATGTCAAACCTGATTTTTGCTATGTGATAACTGCTACATAAAGATTCATCAGACAGCTGTTCTAGTCCTTATGTAGCAAGTTTTTAGCCTAAGTTGCTAATGCTAACATATCATTTATTTTATGGTAAATACAAACTCATAAATTAAGCTTTATTCTAAAGAACCATTCAAACTCATGACTGAACAGCTATAATCGCCAACAATTCAATAATGAGGTTAATTTTATTGTTAACTACAATGCCACACTTGTATGAAGTCCATTGCTCTGACCTCAACAGATATGGCGCGTAGAGGGTGGGGATAAAGTTCCTGTGGACCCTTCCAGCAATGGACAGTTCTATGGAGGAGACTGTTACCTGATCCTCTACACCTATCGCCAGGGAAGCAGAGAGCAACATATTATCTACACCTGGTAAGTCAAGATAGCCACAGGTTGACATGCCGGAACATGTGCTCATTAACCACCCGATTAGCCAATATTTAACCAATCAATATTTAATGACCTACATATATGTATTGATTTTTATATCAGGCAAGGACTTAAGTGTACACAAGATGAGCTGGCTGCCTCAGCTTTTCTAACAGTCAAGCTGGATGATTCCATGGGAGGTACGCCTGTCCAGGTATTACCAAACACAAGCCTAATTTCTTGAGTCTGGTCAAATTCTATTCCATGCTTAAATTAAATTAAACTCAACCTTATCGGCTATTATTGTGTAATTGTTAATTAATTGTCATTTTTTTTATTTACACTGTCTCTATGCCATGTTGATTATAATGAGGTTTTCTAGTTTGGTCATAAAGTGACCAGAGCTAGCAAATTAAAAATAATTCCATAATAGTCTGATGCTTTTCACTTTAGTTTTAAAACATCTTTGTTTCTAGTACAGTACACAGTATATATAGTACACAATATATAAGTACCATATTGGTTATCAATTGATATTAGACATTCTTTATTGATATTGATTCCTATTGGATACTGTATGTATAATTCCCTTTAATCGTTTGTGGTATGTAAGATATTTTAATGATTTTGAAAGAAGTCTCTTATGCTCACCAAGGCTACATTTATTTGATCAAAATATAGTAAAAACAGTAATATTGAGATATATTATTGCAATTTAAAATAGTTGTTTTTATTTTAACTTGTCCTTTATTCCACTGAATTTTCAGCTTTCTAATATGCTGATGCTCAAGAAACTTTTCTTTTTATTATCACTGTCGAAAACAGTTGTGCGGCTTAATGTTTTTGTGGTAACAGAAAACATTAAAAAAAACTTTTCTTTGATGAACAGAAAGTTGAAAAGAACAGCATTCATTTGAATTAAAAATCTTTTGTAGCAATATACAATTCTTTACATTCACTTTTGCTCAATTAAATGCATTCTTGCTGAATATGTTTCTTAAAAAAACTCACAGACCTCAAACTGTAAACTGTAGTCTATATGCCGAAACTGATTATTTAGTTTTGTATGATGATTTTGTCATCATCTAACACTCATTTAAAGTTCATTTAAAAAAAATAATTATATAAAACTAATAATAAAATCAACAATCTTGGCAGCTGTAATTGTAATCTTAAATTTTTTTGGATAAATTGTGCATTTCTTTTTATGTACTCCTGTTGTCATGTCTTATATGATGCAGAGAAGAGCTTAGTTTGTAGGAAATAAAAATAATTTTTATTTCCTACAACATGAAAAAACATGATTTAGAATTCACTGTTATGTCGCTCTGCAGGTACGTGTCACTCAAGGCCAGGAACCGGCCCATTTGATGAGCCTGTTCAAGGGGAAACCCATGATCATCCACATAGGTGGGACTTCACGTAAAGGTGGTCAAAGTCAGACTGGCAATACTCGCCTTTTCCATATCCGCCAGAGCTCCACCCGTGCAACACGCGCTGTGGAGGTCAGTGAGGACGGCAGGCACATACATGGACACAATCAGCAACGGCCATCTGGCAATAACCTTCCTCTCTGACTCTCTCTCTCTCTCTCTCTCTTCTCACCCAGGTGGAACCCACTGCATCTAAACTGAATACTAACGACGTGTTTGTGCTGAAGTGTCCTGGCGGCCTGTTTCTGTGGAAAGGAGTGGCCGCTTCAGAGGAAGAAATGGCTGCTGCTAAACACGTCTGCAGCTTCCTTGGAGGCAGTGCCACAGACATTTCAGAGGGCAAAGAGCCGGGTGGGTGTCTGCCTTTTGTAAATGTTCAAACGATGTAATTTATACAGTTAAAAGGCATTCCTAAACTAATCACGTTTCCTGTTCTTTTGAACTGATTGGCACTTATCTGTATCTTTGCTTCGCTCAGCTGGGTTTTGGTCAGCTTTGGGTGGAAAGAAGGACTATCAAACCTCTAAAAGTCTGCAGAAGACTGTTAAACCTCCACGTCTCTTTGGCTGCTCCAACAAGACTGGACGTCTAATTGTGAGTTAACATAAATGGAATTTGCAACTCATTTAAATTTCTTTGTTAAATGAATGCATACAATTTACTATACCTCTCCTATTTCATTTTTAGGCTGACGAAGTGCCTGGAGATTTCACTCAGTCTGATTTGGCCACTGATGATGTCATGCTGCTGGACACCTGGGATCAGGTTAGCATTTGAAGTACCGATAATGACTTAAAAAGTCAACATGAAATCATGTTTGCAACACATTTTACTTCTGTAATCGGATAAACTTCTGAGTGAATTCGAGAAAATGCAGAATGAGAATAGATTTTATCCATAATTATTTGACTGGCTCTTGAAAAGTGGGTGTTATGTACCAGAATGGAGCACATAATGAAGTTCAGTTATAGACCTTAGCCTATATTAATTAATTTTTTCACAGGAATGAAAACGAGGCTGTGAGGGATAGAAGTACAGTGCGTTCAATGGATTGTACAATTGTTTAATAATATACCAATTGTTGATGTGCTGACAAAGCTGGTTTCTGAAAAAAAAAACCTGTCAATAGACAAAATTTCCATAAAACAGTTTTGAAAGTCGTGAAAATTATGTAATCTGTGTCCATCTATTACAGCCTTGTTATCATTCCTGTCAAAATTAAATATAAATGTAACCAGGTCTAATGTTAAACTTTAAATGTTTAATTGAATTTCTTCTTCCTTTAGATCTTTGTTTGGATTGGTAATGATGCCAACGAGGTGGAGCGGAATGGAGCAGATAAAATAGGTAAGTTAAGATGATGAAGCACTAACTTTAACACTTACATTTATACAGTTAAGGTACCAAAAAGCAAAATCCCAACTAGAGCAGTCCATAATGGAGGATTCAATTTGATTTAACATTGTCATTGAATGTAATTCCTGATTATTAATGTGCATGTTTCTTTACCATTAGCCAAAGATTATGTGGATTCTGACCCCTCTGGTCGCCGTGGCACCCCGGTCATCACTGTAAAGCAAGGCTTTGAGCCCCCAACTTTCACTGGCTGGTTCCAGGCTTGGGACGCAAAGATGTGGGACACAGACCCACTGGATCGCATCCGTGGTCGTTTCTAAAAGCACACGCATTCAGACACGCAAACCTTTATATACTTTTCCATAGCTTCCAGAATACTCACCTCTTGTGTTTCACGCATTGAAGATCTGTAAAGGATGCAGATGGGAACACAGTATGCAATAATGCTGCATGTTAAGCCACTATGTACTGTATTTTGCTACTATTAATGACTTTTTGCCTTTTTGATTCCTATGCATTGACTTTGCCTTTTTATACAATTAAAACTCTTTTATATTTTCTTTTATATGCTTCTGTATTCCAGTGACGTTTTCGACTACATGGTCTTTATGATTTTGAAAATGACAAGAAATGGAAATGGAAATTTTTTTTTTTATATAAGCAAGACAATAACATTTGTTTGTATTCGACAACTTGGTGCCACTGGATTGTTAAAAACTGTACACGTGTATGGTTAATGCCTCATAAATTTGCAAACTGAAACATCTGAGAGAATATATTGTAGTTGCTGAAAAAAGATTTTAATGTATCTCTACAATTATTATGAATCCCAGTATATAATAATAGTAATAAAATACTAAACAATACAACTATAACAAAATAGTGCTGAGTTATGTGTTTGTTGATGTGGGACTTACTGACTGACCCCAAACTTATGCATATTATGTTGTGTTTTATCAGATATTTCTTTTAGACCACATTGGTGTATAGACCTTGCATCTCTGCAGTCGTAATGTTACGTATTTTCCACCACATGTCTAGACCGTAGTGACACATGGGTCATTCTGCTGAGTCTTTATGCTGTGGATTAGGAGGTGTTTTAGCTCACCTCTCAAGCTCTTACTCATTCTGTCTCTTTATCTTCTTTCCAGTTCTCCTTAGCCTTCATTTACTTCTTGTTCTCTCGTCCCACTGTATCATCAGAGAAAGCAGCCATGAATCAGAAGGTTGTACTGATCACTGGTTGTTCTTCTGGCATTGGATTGGCACTTGCTGTTCGTCTTGCCAAAGATGAGAAAAAGAGGTTTATGGGTAAGGCCCATAGGATATCTATAGTCGTATAATAGTGGTGTAGACCAAGTACAGTTGTAAAATGTTTGCATTTTGTTGTACTGCACAAATAGGCTACTGTGCAGAATTAACATAGATTTGTTTTTCTTCAAAAGACGCCATTTTCTGTTTATCAACCAAATGTAAAAAAACGTAGATGGGACATTTGTGACACTAATTAGTGTGATAAATTAGATAGGTCTATTTTTGTTATGTTCTTTATTATTTTCACAGTGGTTACAGATGTATATTGTCCCACCATTAGTGCTGTCAACACAGGCATGTCACAAAACAATTATTTCTAAAAGGACAAATGTGAATGTGCACATTATGACAGAAGGGAATGTGTAATATTCATACTGTTACTGTACCCTGTTACAACTCCGAAGTATGTAACGTTAGTAAAAAATAGATTCTCATAATGTTTTTTTTTTCGTAAGCAACTTCTTAAACTTACTTCTATATAAATTGACTTTGCATGTAGAATTACTCCAAACTAAGCAGCTGAGAAGCACTAATAGTCATTAAATAAGACTGTGATCACAATCTGTTACTTGGAAATGCTATCAGATTAGTTCAAATGAAAGTTAGCCTATATTTTGAGCTTGGCAGCGTATATCATGGGGAACCGTGTTAAATGAAAAAAAAAAACAAGCAGGTTGTATTTTGAGCTTCACATTAGAGACGTCTGTGAAACTGCACATGACAGTCCAAACTTGCAGGAGAAGGGAAATATGCAGTTTTACAACTGTATGCTGTCTGCACTGCACTGCTTTTACTAAAAATGCCGTTAAAAAGGTTTCTTCATGCGTAACTTGTGAATTCTCCTAAATAAATCGACTTTGCTTGTAGATTTTCTCAAAATAAGTAGCCGAGTAGCTAGCTTTATTAGTCATTAAATGATGACTAGTCTCCATCTGTTAGCTGAAATCTTAGCAGACTAGTTCAAATGAAAGTTAAGCTAAATGTTTTGGCTTTGGCAGTGTATGCGACTATGAGGAACCTGGCTAAACGTGAAGCTCTGGAGAAGGCAGCAGGTCGTACTTTGGGGAGCACACTGGAGATCAAGCAGCTCGACGTCTGTGATGAGAATTCTATCAAAGCCTGTGTGGACAGCCTGCCCATGCGCAGAGTTGACATTCTCGGTAAGGGTTTCCTACATTTATTTCTTACATCAAAACACAAATGCTATGCTTTAACTTTGTGGCCATAATATCTAAGTTTACCCGCATACCACGTGCACGGCGCCTTAATATAAGGCGGAGACGGACATAATCGTAACACGCACGGTTTTTTTTACACTGCCCTTAACCCCGGATTATTTTAAATCTAAACCCCGCTTTTAACCCTGGTTAAAGGAACGTTTCATACTTGTAATTAAGAAGTGGGTTAGCACCACTTTTTTTCACCGAGGGTTATGGTGCAAAGTTAGCATCGTTTTTTCGATGTACAGAGTGAAGTGATAGGGATACACTTGAAATGGTTAACCCATTCTAAACCTTGTGTAAAAGGAATCCAGGGTTGCTTCACGTTTCACACTGTTCATAATTAATAAGAATATGATGGGGTTAATAATAAATAATAAATTCTGGGTATTTATAAGATACCACTTCACACTGTACTAAACTTTAACGTTCCCATACGGATAACCATGGTTTTATTATAGTAAAAGTGTAGTAATGTTTTTGGCGCATTGATTACCATTTGTATAAGTTTTACTACAAATAAAATGGTTAAACTATGGTTAGTGTAACAAGACCATGGTTAATTAGCATTGTTGATACTACCCTTCCATTATCTGTGTTACAGTTAGAAATGCTGAAATGGGAATGATTGGCCCCATTGAGTGTCAGACCATTGATGAGATGAAATCTGTCATGGACACTAACTTCTTTGGGCTTGTGCGACTCTTGAAGGAGATTCTGCCTGATATGAAGAAGAGAAAAAGTGGTCACATAGTGGTAATCAGCAGTGTTATGGGGATTCAGGGTGAGTTGTTAAAAATGGACAGCAACCAGCTTTTACTAATGACTGGTTTTCTTAAGCTGATATTTGCATTTGAGCTCTTTATACCAGGGGGTGAGAGGTCCAACTTAGATACTTAAAGGATTAACAACAATGACTAAAGAAGCTCTGAGAGGATTCAGTCAGGGTTTACCATCTCTAATCACTGTCATGTTCATGTACACAGGTATATTGTTTAATGACATTTATGCTGCTTCCAAGTTCGCTGTTGAAGGGTTCTGTGAGAGTCTGGCAGTTCAAGCTCTGAGATTCAATCTGAAGTAAGTGATCACACTCATATACAGTATAGGGGTCCAAGCATTGAATGGTCCCACATACCCCACTACCCAGAAGTACATTTACAACATGAATCTAGACAGAGTGGACATGAACCACATTGCCTCATCACATCCTATGATAGCTTTGTATGACTAGAACTACTCAAATTTACAAGTTTATAAGAGTTCAGTTTTCTTGTTCATGATAATAGATTGCAGCAGTAATTTCAAGATTTTCGATGTGTTTTGAAAGCTTTGACCCCCACACTTAAGTTGTAATTGTATGTATATTGTATTTGCATCTGTGCAGTATCAGCCTCATTGAACCAGGACCCGTCATCACAGAGTTTGATAATAAGGTGTATGAGGAAGGCTTGAAGATAGACCTCTCCAAAGCTGATAAAGTGACAGCAGATATGTTTACCAACATCTACTTAAAGAATTACAACCAGATATTCCAGAGTCTTGGACAAACTCCAGAGGATGTTGCAGAGGTACTTTTCCAAAACATTTTATATAGCATTTCATTTATTTCATTCATCTATCTTTCCAATACTCTGATGTTTGGTTTTGTCTCTGAATTACTAACAGTCCATATGTTGTTTCTTTTATAACCAGCACACATTCAAAATGATTACCATGGTCAACCCACCATTTCGCCATCAGACTAACCTTCTGTACACACCCATGACCACCCTAAAAAATGCGGATCCAAACCGTGACCTTCCCATTGAAACCTTCTACAAAATGGTGTTTGAACATGACAAGGTGTTCAAAGCAAGTCTCAATTTCCTCAAGCTCCTGTGCTGGAGAATCCGTAACAGCTTTTCTTTGGATAAAGACAAGAATGCCTCTTAAAGAATATTCTGCTGGAGACCTGGGGGTATTCCAGAAAACAATTTATTTAAGCAATTTAACTGGGTAAATTTACCCAAAGTAAATGGACAACCTCAACTTTCGGTTCCTAAAACTGAGGAAATGTCATAGTATGTAAGTAGCCATAGAGCAAATTACTCTCTAAACATAACTTGCTCTGGAGCAGGATATGTTCCAGGGTTGGTTTACTTCAGATAAATGCCTCTCAGCCTCATAGATATTCAGCGAATTCTTGCCTTTTTGTTGAGGCTCCAGTGGGTGTGACAGCAAAGATAAAGCATGATATTCTAATTTTAAGGCATTATAATACTAAATATTTCTATATAATATAATTTATTAATAAAAAATACAACTAACGTACACATGAGATACATCACACCTTATCACCAATATGGAAGTAAAATAGCTATACCTAAAAAATCTATATACATACTGTATATGGCAGGAAATGTCTGGTTGTGCTCCTTGAGGGCTACTGTCCTGCAATTTAGTGCCAACACATCTCCCAAGAAATTTCTAGTGATCCTGAGGACCTTTATTAGCTGGTGCAGATGTGTTTAAGGCTGTTTTTTAAAGGATGTCAGTGGAGGAAAGGCTTCCATATGCTGAATAAACTGCTTTTGTGAGGAAACCTATTGACTAATCTTCAAGATGTTTACCAATAAACATTCATTTTGGATTTGTATCTATTTTTTTTAGAACAAAAAGTCACAGACTATTTTACAACAGACTCTATAGTCTGTTCTCCAATCCCTGCTTCAGGAGAGCTATCATCCTGGGGTGCATTTCCGAAAGGCAGCTACGGTCACAGGGGTCAACAGAACTATAGCTGGGAAATTATACTTTTGGGAAACACACCCCTGCAGACTTCAGTTACAATTATCACTTAACCCTGAACACCTTGATTAGCCGGTTCAGGTGTGTTTAATTGGGGTTGGAGCTGAACTCTGTAGCTCTCTAGGAGCTGAGTTGCAAATGGTAGAGATGCAGAGGTTGGTATCTCCTCAAAATAAAAGGAATATCTCTGGCTAAACTCTGCTGGATGTTAGTCCTCCAGGAGCAGGATGGGACACCCCTGAACATAATACAGCCATAATATCTTTGCATAATAATATCTTTATTTAGCATCAGTTCTGCATAACTGAAGTACTGTAGCCTACCAAGAAAGAAAAAAATAAAAAATATTTGTTTAAAAATAGACTGCATAATAGGTACCGATATGTGCTTCTTCTTAGCATTTGTTTTCATGGAGTTTGTTTCATGGATTCGACGCTCTGTTGAGAATATATTTGTGTTCATAAAGTCTGAATTTTAACAAAAACACCAGGCATCATACACTTGTTGGCTTTTAAATGGTTACATGATTACCTGAGCATCATACACTAAATAACTGAGCATTTTTAAAGTGTGCCTCATTACTAGAACATA